ATAACTGAGATGGGAAGGCTGCGAGTGCAGCGTTCCAGTCCGAGTGTTCACACGGAGCAAAGCGGAGAACGAACATTCTCCGCTCTGCTCCCTGTTCTCTATCCTGAACCACCTTGCCGTGGGAGCCCGAAAACCACCCCTGGGATAGGCAGCCAGAGGTGAGGGCGGACCACGCGGGGGGGCGGCAGGGGAGGACAGATGAGCAGGCTACTTACAAGTGATCTCGGCATCGCTGTCACCCCACATACAGGTGTTTGAGCACAGTACTGTGCTGGCTCTCCTGTGATAACTGAGATGGGAAGGCTGCGAGTGCAGCGTTCCAGTCCGAGTGTTCACACGGAGCAAAGCGGAGAACGAACATTCTCCGCTCTGCTCCCTGTTCTCTATCCTGAACCACCTTGCCGTGGGAGCCCGAAAACCACCCCTGGGATAGGCAGCCAGAGGTGAGGGCGGACCACGCGGGGCGGTGGCAGGGGAGGACAGATGAGCAGGCTACTTACAAGTGATCTCGGCATCGCTGTCACCCCACATACAGGTGTTTGAGCACAGTACTGTGCTGGCTCTCCTGTGATAACTGAGATGGGAAGGCTGCGAGTGCAGCGTTCCAGTCCGAGTGTTCACACGGAGCAAAGCGGAGAACGAACATTCTCCGCTCTGCTCCCTGTTCTCTATCCTGAACCACCTTGCCGTGGGAGCCCGAAAACCACCCCTGGGATAGGCAGCCAGAGGTGAGGGCGGACCACGCGGGGGGGCGGCAGGGGAGGACAGATGAGCAGGCTACTTACAAGTGATCTCGGCATCGCTGAGATCACTTGTAGAAAACGAGCTGCAGTTTCCCACGCCAAAGCAGGGCTAAATGTAGATAAAAAAATACCTGCCTGGCACCCGGGACTGCATGTCCCGGGTGTCGACAATAGGAATTCCACACCCCTGCCGCCCCTCTACTCTTTGCCGCCCCGAAGCTTGTGGGAGATCTGGCCCTGAGCAGACTGACAGTGATCATCACTGTGACAGCTAACATTGTGCTTAAACCTTTACATACACAAACAGTGGCTACCACCTTGTGTTTCAATGGAAATGCACCATGTACAGCATCTTTTGTAGCGGCTCTAGTCTTTATGAAATGTTTGTGTCACTTACTGCCACACCAAACAGAAAGGTAACAGATGTAGAGCCAAAGGAAATCTCACCGCTCCAATTCCTTAGCCGCCATCAGGACTCCCCAGGTGCTGGTCTAAAAGGTGCGTCTCCACCTTGGAATGTAGTAGTATACGAACAGACCGCACTATCCAGAGAATTCCACTACTTCAGACTTTATTGAAATTTACAGCAAGTCCAGTATAACAGTGAATAAAAGTGTATAAAGCAGCACATACCAGCACTGCACACCCCCAACCAGCTACAACCTCTCACATGTTTCCCCCCTTGCACTTATTCATAAAGGTCAGTAAAGGTAACAGAGTTTAAAATATGGAAGCTTTCTTCAGAGGCATGGATTCTTTTATTTCTGATCACAGCATTAAAGATTTCGTTTAATGATTTTAAAATATTGTTTTATGAAAAGAAAGAGTAAAGGTTGCAAGAAAATATTTACAGAAAAATACAAAAGAGACAAAACCAACAGTAAAATAAATGGGATTAAAAGCGCTGGCGGAACTACCAGGGTCGCAGCGGTCGTATGCCTCTGATTAAAAGTGCAAAATACTTAGCAAAGTTTGCCTAGTCTTTGGTTGTGGCAAATCCATTACTGTACAGAATGAGTTCAATCTGATGTATTAAACCATCTGCTCTCAAGAATGACCCTTAGTAAGCCTTCATCATTTCAGTGGTAATTGAGAACTGCAGCTGCCTATTGCAGCAGCTTTTTGTTGACCCTCCAGAGTTTGTTTACAGAAATGATATAACCAATCGAATGGTCTGTATTGTGTTGAAGTGTTGTATGATATTTCAGTGGACACTCCTCCGAGGCCAGATTTTTAAAATACCTAATATTTTCAGATGACCATGTTTTATAGTCTGCCAACCAAATGTTTTAGCACAGAATGAAATCACAATTTGAAAGTGCCCAAACATTATATAGACACACACAGCGCATAGAATATTGTGACCAATCTGCCTTTTGAAATAGCATGCATCCCACTGTTCTCCAAACCAGAATCCCAATGTAATCAAATGGGTGCTGGCGTGACCAGAGGATGGCACTGCACAATCTGCCTTCTGAACATTATAGCATAGGCATGTTTGGTACCTGCCTTATTGTTATTTTCTTATACAATATGGTAGACACCTGTAATTAATGTAGCATTTTCATATCAAATTTTATGGAATAAAAATAGATTTTGGTTCTATTAGTTCAAAAAAATCAGACTACTGTCTTTTTCAGCCTCATTATCCTCAGATGCAATATTGTATTACTATGATGTCTGCTGTTCCTAGTGTAATACTAATTCTAGTCGGTTTTACTGGGGTAGCAGGCAAAAGATCTTTGACCTAGGAAGGTAAAACGTATAAATCTAACCTTGCCTACATTGTCATGTCAAAAAAATGGATGATGGAACAGCTGCAGACCTCTGCAGAGAAATTACTTTTTTCACATAGCGAGCAAGGGTCCTTCTTTGCAGCATTCAGAAGACTTTGAACACCTATTGATTTGTTGACCATGCGGTTAAAAAAAAATCTGATTTTTTCAGTGTTCTAAATGGTATAGATGAGAAGAAATTACATGAAATATAAATAAAAGAACTATATAAGAACTTTTACAGGGTTATTCACAAAAGGGTGACGAGTTTGGAGAAGGCAGGAGAAGGGAACAATCTAGGACAACATAGCTGAACTGGAAAGTGAGCTGATTTGGAGAATTTTTCTGAATGCAGCACGGAGCTGTACGTGTCGGCCAATTCCAGTGTGAATGAGCCCTACATGTCCCCGGGAACATAAAATAATTTTTTTTTAAATACTCACCTGATCCCTGGATCCACTGACAAGCACAGCCTCCCGTTTCCCACGCTGTTAGAAGTTGCATACAGAGCATGCTAGTTACTACTTGTTATAGTGGGCACCCCTGTCCTAGATTGTTCACTTCTCCTGCCTTCTCCAAACTCTTCACTCTTTTGTGAATAACCCCCTTAATCCTAAAGCTCCACAAAGCTAACTTGGCTTTAAACATCTGATATTTCCTCTGATTTAGGGGTCCATTAATATTAGTTCAAATAACAACACAAAAGACATGTAGTAAGTAAAGTTTAGGGGAGATTATGACTGGAAACCTGAGAAGGTTTGGTAAGTGTATATGTATAGTAAGGGTAATCCTACAGGCTCACCATCAGCAAGAGCTCAGTGGATACCGTACAATAGGTATGAGTCTGGAATTGGTTGCCAAAGACCAGTTATGAGTATTAGTGCAAATATTCACAGTGTTGTACCATACATATACACATACCAAACAACACTGTGAATATTTGCACTAATACTCATAACTGGTCTTTGGCAACCAATTCCAGACTCATACCTGGTGTACAGTATCCACTGAGCTCTTGTTGATGGTGAGTGTGTAGGATTACCCTTACCATACATATACATTTACCTCCAATATATTTTCTCTCCTCCAGTGCACAAGACTCTAGTGTTTTCTCCTAATGAAATGTGTCCAGTTTACTCCTGTCCTTTTATTTACTAACACAATTGTCAGTCTAGTAGTGGGAAATCATAATTCAATTCTACTCACTAATTATGGGAATAACCATGTTGATGTTTGACTTGGAGAAGGAACATGTGATGTCTGTGTAAATATGTGCAGTTTCACAACATAATTGCACAATCTCTTCCCCCCATTAGTTTCCTAAAATGCGGAATGACCCAATGGGGGTGATTTACTAACCTAAACACACGCACGCACTAGGTGCGTGTGATTTTTACACAGCAAAACATATTTATCAACCAAAAAGTCTCTAAAAGCATATTTCCACTAATGCCATATATGGAAAAATCATGCACATGATGCATATATAATGCTGCTTCACAGTTTAGACAAAAATGGTTTGCTCATGCATTTACATTCCTGCATTCATCAACGCAAGCAACACAACATAGAGCTAATTTACACAACATCACCTTGCAATTCATGCTTGCCTTTGCACAACACACCTGCTGGGTGTGTACACACTACAAAGGTGTTTAGATTCCACCCATAGATCATGCAGGGAGGGAACACACTACAGAGGTGTATACATGTTCGTGGTGTGTTTATAAGGTTAGTAAATCAACCCCAATAGCTCATTAACCATCTCGCCTAGGGCCAGAACAGTGTTAGTATTCGGAGGTGTTCCTGATGTCTTCTGACACTCATGCATTCAGGTCCAGGTTTAAAGAATAGTGGTGCATGCAATGAGCTGTAGACACAATGTAATAATATGCCGTGTGTGCCACATTATTAGTGAACATTTATGCTTTCTGGGGTAGACCAAGCAGTGGGAAAATAGATTTGTCTGTATCCGAGATTTGTACTTGTAGACAATAATGAGCAAGCAGGCTGTACCCTATTTCCTTTATAGAGACTTTCTGGTGCGGACCCAGATGGAATGGAATGGTCATGCAGCTTTTACTTTAATTCCAAACCTCCTGTTTTAATAAAGGAGGTCATAATAATTGCTAAATCTTAATTTATGATAAAATTGTTAGACACAGTCGGGGGAATTTAGCAAACTGGAGCAAACAAAATCTGGAGCAGTTGTCCCCGGCATCAGCATCTCACTTCAGTTTGCTCCGTTGAGATTTGAAAATGAGAGCTGATTGATTGCAGTGCAAATCTGCTGCAGATTTTGACTGCTCCAGTTTTGATAAATGCCCCCCCCCCCCAATGTTTTTTAATCCGTATAAACATTTTCGCTGCGATTTTCATTATCCGGCCTCATTTCCGCCCTTCCCATGCATGGAAGGCCGCGACTCTCGGCAGCACCGCACATGCGCAAGCCCCTCTCGGTCGAAGGACTACACGTCCCGGAATGCCTTGCGGCCGCCCTCCTTCCTATCCGGCTGTGACACCGTAGACATGGCTGCCCGCATAGCATGGCTGGTGAGGAGGATTCACCCGGAAAGGGCACGGAGGACGCTGTGTGCTGGAGGTGAGCTCCTGATAACAGTACACACTGAGAAAGAGGGAGCTCAGTCATTGGACTTGGCCGACTGAGATCTGCGCCGCATGTCCCCTGCATTGGTATAAGGAGACATTGGGCTTTCATTGATTGTCATTGACAGCAGGTGTATGTGGGAAGTGACACTTCTTACAATAGAGTTCCAAAATAACCTGAAGAGCTGACAGTCTAGTGATGTCTTTTACACAGAGTATGACCTTGGCAGAGTCAGCTGTCACTGGGGGTCATTCACACCGTGCGATCCCAGCACAAGAACAAGGCGATATCCGGATGTTTTGTCGGGTAAAGCCGGACTCCGGGGGGGGGGGACACATTCCTTGTTGCAGTGAGCCCCCCTCCACACTACCAGGGTTAAAGTCCATCAGGACAGGGGTTCTGTCCTGGGACTGTAGAGGATAAGTGCTCATTTTTGTCTAGTTGCGAGTAAAGCAGATTTACTTACCTGATCTCCGCTTCCCAGCCAGTCAGCGCTCTGCTCGTCTCCCCCTCCACTCTGACCCTTGGACTGGCCCTCAGCCTCATCATGGACCTGATGATGTCAGCGGACCTTAGACCACTGGGGACTGGGGGGAGAAGAGGCTGCAGGGACTGGTCTATCTGCCCTGGCGGGAGTAGGGATCAGGAGAGTAAATCCCGTGACACACTGCACGCAAAGCTGCGAGGCGCAGAGATTCGCATCCAGTGTGTGAGAGTGCGGCAAGATGAGAGACTTAATCTTCAGCCAATCGGCTCACGTGTAAGAACCTAATGAAATTTGCGTCCTGATGCGAGGGTTTATAAGCAATCCTATTGGCTGAAGATTAATTTTTTCATCTCGCCACGCTCAGCTATGCGAGCATGTGAAAGCCCGCACACCGCCACTTCCCTTTGCTCCGCGCAGCTTCGCGTGCAGTGTGCCACAGGCTTTAGGCCCGTTTCACACAAGCGCCGTCTGTTCCGATCAGCAGGAGATCCATGCACAGACCCCATTCTGATCGGAGCAGAGAGGTACAAAAGTCACTCTGTTGACCTACATGTCCATTCGATTTTTTTTTCCTTCCATCTTGCCATAGGGGGACAAACTGAACTTATCGGACCCATGTTGGTCTATGTGGAGTTGGATGTAAGTGGACGTGTGTCTGTTTACATCAGATTACTTCTGATCTGTCACCATCAGGTCTGCAAAAAAGGGAACTCTGTTCTGTCTGTTTTCTGGACCTAGGCAGAGTCAGGGGGATAATAGGATGTAAACAGACACTGCCCGAGAATTTTCAGATGTTCGCACCGGAGCGCGCAACGGAGGTACAGTTAGGCCCCATGGATACTGAGCGATTTATCGTGCGGTAATCTGCGAGATATCGCGGATATTTACCGCGCGATATCCCTCTCCAATGCATGGCAATGGGGCTCTGTTCGTCGCTGTCGCGGGTCGTGCGTCGCTACAACAGGACCCTTTTTGGAGCGGATTTCGGCGCGATTCTACTTTGCTCAATGCAACCATTTGCGCGATGTCACGCAAAATGCAAATTGCGCGATTTGCGATACGCTCAGTGTGAATGGGGCCTTAAGTTTTAACCCTTTGGAAAAGTTTTTCTTTTTTTTTTTTTTTTTAATGTTTTGCATATATCTGCTTATCATATTTGCTTGCTAGCAGTAGATATATGCAAAAAAAAACGTGAGGGTTTAATAACCCTTTAAGGCCGGTTCACACCATAGTGTTGTGGTAAAAGTATGGTACCTGTGCATGTAGCACCTGCCATCGCACATTGCAATGAAACACGTGTTAGGTTTGAATTCATTTGAACAGCAAACCAGCTCACCTCCTGGCAGGCATGTGTTGCAGCACAGTGTGTGGTACTGCAAAGCAGGGTGTTGTGGTGAAAAAAGTAATGCATGCACTACTTTTTCCACTGCAGTACATGGAATTGCTGTACTGCGCACTGTATTACAATGCAAGGCTGCACTAGCATGCCATTCAAATGAATGGCAGCACACATAGAGTGTGTTACTGGTACCGTGCCTTTAGTGCAGTGCTATGGGGTGGACCAGCCCTTAAAGGAGAACTATGGGGTAACAGGAGGACACAAACTAGCGTCCTCCCGTCACCCTAGGTCACAGGTCGGCTAGAACTATGAGGGGAGTGAAAAGCACTCACGTCATAGTTCTCCTTCAAGGAAATGAAGGAACCTCCATGCCTGACAGCTTTGCTCTGCAGGGCTTTGCATGCAGTGTGTCACGGGCTTAAGGCTCTGTAGGGCTGCGTAAGGCTCTGTAGGGCTTCTTATTGTGATGTAATGTCTGTTTGTTTATTTACCAGCCCGCAGTTCAGTAAATGGACCCCCCAGGTTCACAGATCCAGAAGTACAGAGCATGCTGAAGAAGATTACCGGTCTAGATCTGGAGAAAGTTTTCCAGCCGGTGAAGCAAGAAAGGAAACTACCCACGTATAAGCTAATGACACAAGAACAATATGAACAGGTACTTAATGGAATAACTCATGAAAGCCCCTCGCAGTTGAACTCCATTTGCAGTGAGTGTTTTGCTGCCTTAGGGGGCTAAATGCACTACAACTCTGGAGCTATAGACAGACATTGTCATTATTGTGTTCAAGTATGTACTGGGCAGAAGGTAGCCTGTTTATCTGGGTGCCCTCAGTAAGCACAGTGCTGTGAATGTGTATTGATAGCCATGGTCACAGTAGACATTAATAATTTGTGCCGGTGACTCTGGAAATCTTGAATCTGGAGGTGATGATTGCTGGGCTACCAGGTGCAAGTAAATGTTTTCACTGTGACTAGTGTGTTGTGGTCTAACCATAGTATTACTGTTACAGTGTTCTCCATTATAATATTTTATTATTATTATTATATTTAAAGTGGAACTGAACTAAAAAAGTGAAGCTTTTCTGTGTTATAGGAAAATTTAGAAATGTTAATTGTGCCTTAAAAAAACAACCCTTTTGTGTGGAATTCCACCTGAAAAATAGCAGTGCAATTCCTGGTATGCCAGTGTGCCTAGGCACTTACGTACCTGCAGATTTGTAGCTGTATATCTGCAGTGTGAAGTATAAGGTACAGCTCCTTCTGACTGCTAGTTGGTGTGGGATTTGGTGATGTTACTACTGGGCCACTCACTGTTCTCCTTGCTGGAGACTCTGACATGAGGAAGCAAAGCCCTGTCACTTCCAAGGTGGCCACCTCCACACAGGCACAGTGCAGGAGAAGGCATAGTAAGTCAGTAATGGGGGAGAGATCAGGTGCAGGGACAACACAGGCAGTAATGGCGACAAGTCTTTTACCCTCTACCTGTCACAGCTTCCAGAGTTCAGTTACTCTTTAAGATGCAAATGCTGCGTGTTCATGCCTGTAAATGAAGTGATCTATCCTAGTGTGCATATCCGTTTATAGAGATACAGTCCCTCGCAGTAAATTGTATGCAGAGAGCCCTGCGTGTGCTAACGGTTTTATAGAAATAGGATTTTAGAACCGGAAGGAGTCTTGATGATCCCAGTTCAGCAGGATAATGAAATGGAAAGATTATTTTTGCAAGCTTGTTTCATTTGTATAGAGTGTAATAAGGTGCTATGGTTTGTAAACGTTTGTTCTCTTCCTGTCACTTAGGCCGTCCAGAAAGCTGCAGAGGCTGCAACAAAGTGCCTAGAGATGCCACCCATGCTGGAGGAACGGCAACCAATAAATGAAATCCTGAATGTGGATGAGATTCTTGCTGGTACAGACACTGCCAAATATGTGTTCACCGATATCACATACAGCACACCACACCATGTGAGTATACTGCCTGGCTGAAGAAGTATGACGGCTCAATTCACAAAGCTTTAAACATGTATGTAAAATCAAATATAATATATTGCAGCTTACCAGTCCTTAGATGTGGTGGCTGCATTAGTTAATGTTTTGTTTTTAAGCTTTTTTCCCCTAATTTTCACCTGGCGATCCGGCCAGAAACACATTTCCTGTCCTGGAATGACAACACTCACTCACCCATCTATAGCAGGACAACAGAAATAAGATATGATTACAGAACACTGCCCTTCCCTTATTGCCCATAATAGAGGGTTGGGTTCTGTAGTCTTCAGAGTTAACGAAGAACCGTTAACTGAGAAGAATGCAGCACAGGCAGAGCACATGAAGCTATCAGCTCACAAGTTTGCTGTAAGGACCAGCAATTATTAAAGGAGCAAATAAGAGACGTTCATTGTTGGGGGTTTACGAACACTTTAACACAAGTATAAGGATCTTTATTTTCAGTCACGTGTCTTTAATGATCAAATCTCATTGGGCTGAGCTGAAAATAACTTCCTTTTCTGAAACTAAGGTTTCTCCTACTGGTGTGTAAGCTTTGTGCAATGTGCATAAAGGCTGGTAAAAGGGAAACAAACAACTCTTAGTCCACATTTTTCAGTCGGGACTTTTCACAAATTCCTTATCACGTGCATTACACCCTAACTGCAGCTTGCGGATGTGTTAGAGCCCCTGTCCAGTGATGTTTGTGGTCTGTGTCTCCATTGGAGAGGTTCCCCTCATTTCTTGCCAAGTGACAAGAAACCTCTCAAAAAGAGACATGGACTGAAGCAAAGTGACATTCAGTGACATTGGGAAAGCTTGGAACCTCTGTCGGGCTGTATCTACTGCCTGTGTCTTCCTGTCCCAGTGACAACTGATCAACTCACTTTTTGTCCTGCTGTCACAGTGACAAAACAGGGGAAATCTCTCCAGTGGGGTCAGAGAGCAATAAAAACACAGCAGAAGGGTTTACTCTTCCCTAGTCTGTTACAGAAAAGCTTTGGCAGGAGTTGGACTTGAATGAGTTATCCACTTGCCTTTAGTAGAACAGGTCTCTCTAAATACATACAAGGGGTGCAAAGGGTTGAGTACAAATGAACCTCAACTATTTTGCAAGAGCCCAAGGGTCCATTTCCAGTGCAGTCAGTGAGGAGTTAAAGGATGCCACATGCACGCCCCCTCTTCTCCTCCAATCATAGAATGTATTGTATCCTTTTAAAAAATACAAGACATTTTATGAATGGAGGGGCGGGTGATACAAGTGAGGTGTTGTACAGCATTGTCATTATTGAGCCTGATGAAGGGCACTCTGTGTGGCCCCTGAAAGCGCTTGTCTATGTGAGTTTCGTCAATAGAATGGATTTACACTAACCTGAATCATTGGATTGGAGTGCTGGTGACATCTTTCTATTTACTGTTGTACAGCTTGGGAGGCATCACATCCTCTTTTCAGTGACCGGAAGCTGGGCGTTGTGTACGGGGGACGGTGTTCTATTCCTCAAAGGAAGATATTTCTACTTTGTAGCCGCCCTCTGCACATAACCCAAGCTTTTTAATGATCATTTACACACCTAGTGCGGTGTGTAAATGATCATTCTGCCCAGAATGCGGTTTTAAACACAGCTCTTACATAGTTAGTCAGGTTGAAAAAAGACACAAGTTCATCGAGTTCAACCTATAGCGATATGAAAAAAAGAAAAGCCTAAACAGAACGCTATGCCCACAATTACCCACTGTTGATCTAAAGCACATGTGTCAAACTCAAGGCCCAGGGGCCGAATCCGGCCCTCCAGGCCATTTCCTAGACTTCTACTTTCAGATCTAGGTATTAAGTTATTACTAAAAGCAGTGATAATCGAATGCAGAGGCAATTATGATAAAGATTAGATACATTTATATAGTCTTACAGATACCTTTGAGGGCAACCATAATGTTGATGAGGCTCACGATTAAATTGAGTTTCACACCCCTGATCTAGAGGAAGGCATAAAAACCCCTATAAAGCACGGTTCAACTTCCTCCAATAGGGGGAAAAAATTCCTTCCTGAGCCCATAAGGCAATCGGATATTCCCTGGATCAACAATCTCTGATTTAATATACCTATAAGAACTCAATATCCAGTAATAGTCTGTGCATTTAGGAATATATCCAGATTTTTTTTTTTAAAACCATTAACCGAGCTAGCTAGAACTATCTCCTGGGTAAGTCTATTCCACATTTTCACAGCTCTAACTGTGAAGAATTCTTTCCGTATGCAAAGGTTAAACCTCTTTTCCTCCAGACGCAAAGAGTGCCCCCTTGTCCTATGCAGTGACCTTAAGGTGAATTAGCAATCACCGGAGTACGTTACACATATGGCACTTTGTAGCTGGAATATTTGTGTCTTAGATTTACATGATCAAATTGTGGTTTGTTAGGGCAGCCTGTGCTATGTTAAAGCTCTAGCTGAGCTCTAGGCATATATAAAACTCAAATGAATGCAGCTCTGTAATCATTAATACATCAACACATTTATTTTTATTTTTTTTACAAAAGTAGTGCGAGTACCTGAATGTGACCTGGTATCTGCCTTTTGCAGTCCCAGTACAGCAGGGCTGGGGTGTGGTGGAAGAAGCAGCAGAAGGAGCTAATCATGTGCTGACAAGAAGCCTGCTGATAGGAAGAGAGAGCAGAGTGACAAAGAGATGAGCACATCACTGTGCAGCTTCTCCTTTCACTGTCCAGTCAATGGCTGGGGTGGGTCCAGGATGACCTGAGCTCAGAGGAAGTGGGTTAAATGATGCTGGACATCTAGTGTCAGAACAAAAGTACTGTGGTGGAAATCTTTGGACTGAAATCTATTATTACAGGAATATTTGGTTTGTTACATTATCTTTTGTTGGGCTATTCTGTTTTATCTTGTTATTTTGTGGCAAGAGCTTTGCTTTAAAGATTGCTATATCTTTGTTCTAATACAGGAAAGGTTTATGGTAGTACGAGAGCCAGATGGCGTTTTGCGGAAAGCCACGTGGGAGGAGAGAGACCGAATGATCCAGGTTTATTTTCCCCGCCAAGGTCGGAAAATGTTCCCTCCACATGTGTTTAACAAGGAAAACATGCAGGTAAATGACACATCCAAATGCAAGAATCCCTGCTGAGAGCCAGATACGGGGTATGATGTCTTCCTTGTTCCCTTGCAGCATATGTTTAAGCAGGAGCGGCATGAAGAGCTCCTAAACCGATGCATTGTCCAGTTTCAGCTCGATTCCAAAGAATACATCCAGGTTAGTGCTCATCAAGGCCTCCGGTATGTTGAGTGTTAGGTTGTCCGCTTTGGTGCAGAAAGTTTCATCGCCAATTAATTGTACATGAATAATAATTAATACATGATTGGTAGTTCGCACTAGTGCTTATAAAGCTTATGATATTTTACCACAGAAGTAAATAATAATGGAATTCTAAAACCTTACCCACCTTAACCTCTTGCCGTCCGCCCGTAGTAAAAAAACGGACGGACGGCACTGCAGCATCTGCGGGTTGCCGTCTCCAGACGGCAATTTTTTTCTGCTCGCCCCCTAGCGGGCACGCACGGGCAGAAAAGACCCGCTAAATGCACACACCCGCTACCGGGTGTTTCACATATAGGCGATCGGCGGGTCCATAGCCCGCCGATCACCTATATGTGCTCGTTCGCGGCAC